CGGCTGACTGATCACAAAACCCTGAGTCAATGAGGTTTTTGTATAGAAAGCTGCCGAACCAAGTTTTGCGAGAGTGTGCCGGTAATGCTGAGCCTGCATACTGCCAAATTTACCAATGGCATCCCTACATTTTCTCGTACAAATAGGACCCATTTTGGGACCCTAATTTTATCAAATCTGCTCTTAGATAATAGCCCAAAAGCTAGGGAGATGATCCTCAGCCATATTCGCATGATTCCACCGATTTTTAAATTAGACGGTCTTGTTTTTAAAAAAAAAATTGTGGGGTCACTTTTTATGCAAATGGACGACTCGCGTAGAAATTTTTGAAACCCTAATCAAAATTATTGCGCCCGCTGTCGGGCTTATTGCGCCATTCTGATATATCTTCTGTCTCACCCCCCAGCCACCCCCCCCCCCCCCCCACCACCACACCAAAAAATAATAGTAATTAAATACGGTTTAAAAATGTGCTCGATAATTCAGAAATTCATGAAGCATATTCAAACTGATTGGATGTTTCCAAAGTGTCTTTCCCATTTTCAAAAGTTCTTTTTAAATGCTCAATTATTCAGAAATTCATGAAGCATATTCAAACTGATTGGATGTTTCCAAAGTGTCTTTCCCATTTTCAAAAGTTCTTTTTAAAAGCCCATCTGCCATTAGAGACACACTCTTGGAAAAATTGGTCCAGTTAACTTATACTTTATGATGGGTCTTGCCGTTTGGCCAAAGTCAATTGAGCATGATCGGCTGACTGATAAGGCTTACGCACAAAACCCCGAGCCAATGAGGTTTTTGTATAGAAAGCTGCCAAAGTTTTGCGAGAGTGTGCCGGTAAAGCAACTATCACACTTTTGCGTATCCTAATTCCTTATAAGTTCCTTATCAAATTTTTTTAATACGCAGCCGTACGCTCAAAACGTCAATTTTTTTTTATTACTTTGACTTTAATGTGCGACGTACATCTAGCGTACAAGTAACGAATTTAGCACATCCACTGCATATGAGATGCGTATGAGTTGCGGCAAGTACGCTTTCTGTGCATTTCTCATAAGTTACGAATAAGTACAATGCGCTGCCCGCTCGCAGGACGAGCGGTACTTATTCGTGCAATATGTCGGCATTCGCTATGAGTTCGTTCAGCGTGCGCTGTATCTTCGCTGCAAGTACGCTATGTATACGGCGGCTCATATGCTGTCGGGGTGCGTGCCGGGAGGTCAGCGTATTACCGCGTATTAACCGCTTATCCCCCACGAACACATAGCGTATTCGTACCATGCTCGACCGATGCGGGACCGATGTGCTGCGTATTTATAATGTATGACCTGCGTAACAGCGTACGCAGCGTAGTTTTGTGCATGCCCAAAACTATCTGGCGTACTGGGCCGTACCATGCGTATGCCTGCGTATATAAAACTTACACAAAACGCATGCATATGAGGTGGGTATTGTGCGTACGACTGCAAAACTCACAGGGCTTGATTTACCCGGGTGCATGCATGCACCAGTGCATGTAGATTTTTGCTTGTGCACGTAGCTTTTTTACTGAGCATGCACGACGTGCATGTAACTTTTTTAGCCACCAAAATACTCATTTCATGCATATATTTACTGTTTACAAATGAGTGAGAATAAGAATAAAGTTTGTTGAATACTTGACCAGATAGTGTACAAACGTGTTATTTCTTATATCCATAAATTATTCCTTGCAGCAGATTCAGAGTACGCGGTAAAATTTGGCAAGATCTCGACGTCCTGCAACCTCCTCCGATCATGCATGTGATTTACCACATGATACATGCTGCAGATAATTTGATATCGCACCGACGCTCCGGGCATTCCTTATGTCCGGATCATAAGTGTGATTCCAAATTATTAGCTGCGTTTATCACGTGGTCTCGTTATTGGCCAATCGGACGCCACCTATCATATGCGCCACATGAAGCAGACGGGTAGCTTGGAGGGCTCCGATAATTTTGCACGCAAATGACCCTGGGTACTTGTGTCAGTTGTCAGGTTCAATAAAATCTAATTTCTACACGTTCGTATGGGTCTTCATCGACGGCAAATTTCGTCAAAATGACACATCCTGAACACGCGGGAAGGCAAATTTAGCTTTCTATGTGAGTACTCAACATTATGTACCAAATTATATACGGCGGATCAATTTCGCCATGTTCGAAATGCCACAACAGCGTGGCGTTGTATACAACGCCACGTTCACGGGTCTAGGCTTGAGCATGATCGAGTAAAAAAGGTTATCTACTGTACTGTCTGTAGAAAGTTCGATAAATCAAAGAGAAAGAATGCCTTCAGAGAAGCAGACGGGTGTAAGTCAATTATGGTGCATGTGGGTTTTTCTTGGTGCATGTAGGTTTTTTGGTCTACATGCACCAGTGCATGCCACTGTTTTTTTTGTAAATCGAGCCCTGGTAACTCATAAGGAATTAGGATACGAGAAGTGTGACAGGGCCAGTACTGCGGAGGATACCAAAGTTCAAGCGCTGACACGTCCCTAGCCCCATAAATGTGGCCTATTTACTGGACTGCCTCCGTAAACATAGGCCACACATCCACATGTACAAAAATCGTGTCGACGGAGCCAAATTTTGATTTTCACATTTAGGCTTAGTTTGTAGGTTTTTTTTGCTTTAGAAGCATACTCACCCTCTTTATAGGCTAATCAGAAAGTGCTGCCTTTTTCAGATGTATATTTTTCGTGAAATTTCCAGATTCATTTTTACACGTTTGCGTATCAAAATTTCAACATGAAATTTCACACAAATTAGACATCTGAAAAAGGCAGCACTTTCTGATTAGCCTGTAAAGAGGGTGAGTATGCTTCTAAAGCAAAAAAAACCTACAAACTAAGCCTAAATGTGAAAATCAAAATTTGGCTCCGTCGACACGATTTTTGTACATGTGGATGTGTGGCCTATGTTTACGGAGGCAGTCCAGTAAATAGGCCACATTTATGGGGCTAACACGTCCCGGGCTAAATTTGGGTGACCTTGGCATCTCTAAATAGCCCAAAACATCCAGTACAGTTCCAGAATTAAGATGATGGTACACTAAGTTAACTTACGGTCATGTGGAAGGTGAAATTCCCCCGTTTTATGTGTTATGTACCACAACCACCACCAAAGATCTTCGCCCACCACATACCAATACCATGCAGCTACTTGACTCGTGGACACACATTCTTTCGTTTAACACGCGGTTCAACCGCTGTGCTCTTATCCAATGAAAAGCCGAGCAAAACAATACGGTGTTGTTTTATATGAAAATGGACTCCTGTAAAATCTGGATTCCGTACGTGTTATTGGTTAAACCCTCCCGCGTGACCACCACCAGTCTGCTTAATGCCTAAGAATAATTTAGTAGAGCGATCGCGGTCACGCAGAAAGGTTTAAAGCTATAGTCCATCATTTGCAGCTATCCAAAAATTAACTGAGGTAATTATTCTTAAAAAATAACATACTCGGTTGAAAGATAGCAAGGGGGCTAAACGCCCTGTGAAATTATTCTTTCTGGCAAGCTGTCATTTTGAAAAAAATCAACAAAAGAAGGCTTTCCAACAGTGCGTCTTAAGATGCACCGTTGGAAATTGGAAATTTCCCTACTTCAGCTACTTTTTCTCCCCCTACTTTTTTATTCAGCGAAGCGCGCACAAGCTTTGGAACGACGCACACGCGGGTGCACTTGCTAAACAACATGACTGTATAGCTTCAATTGGCTCATTGAGAAAGTGTCTCAGACGCAGAATTCAGGCCAAATTCAACACATGATTCATGGGCGTAGCACAGTCATTTTTATATTTTGTTGGGGGTAATTTTTTTGTAAAAGGGCACTTGCACATCGATCATCTGTTGTGAAATGTAGACAGGCATTTTGCTCCGGACACGTGGCCGCCGTAAAAACAGGGGGGGGGGGGTATGGCTGGTACCATCTGTCGATGGGGGCGCTGTTCTAAAACGGCAATTATGCACACAAAGGGTCACTCTATGATGCTTTTCAGGGCGATACATGTGCGAAATTCTGAACAAGGCACCCGAAACGGTAGTTTGAGTATCACCCATTATCCACGGAGCCATCTCCTGTCTAACGTCTGATATGTCAAAGCATGCAGATTTATGCAAGCCGCGCGCCAGCCAATCGGAGTCGACTTTACTAAATCGTGACGTCATTTCATCCCAAAATCAGGACTAACGCTGTGATTGGTCAATACGAATGCAGCGTTTTGTAATACAACAACAGCCGGGAGCGCATTTGCGTAACATGATACCGAGCGCCGCGACTTTTTTTTTTAAATCCATGTCTATGACGCGCAACCGTGAAAGACGAATGACCGAAGACCCGATAGGCCTATAGAAAGCGCCTGCTGATTGGTCACAATCTAGGAAGTCAAGAGGCGGGGTCTTGCCTAATTAATCAGCAAATCTGTTCGGGCATCACATAGACTACCAAAACGGCAGATGCCATACAAAAGGCACCACTCCTTTTTTGAAAAGGGCACTTGTTCAGAAAAAAGGGCACTTCGTAAAAAAAAGGCACTCTTTATAAATTACTGGGGGGGGGGGGGGGGGGTAAGCCCGTTGACAAAAAAAGGGCATTTGAATGGAAAAAGGCAGTCTTTACAAAATATTGGGGGTAAATATCCCCTTCCCCCACTCCCCGCTGGCTATACACCTATGTGATTCAACAACTTTTGATTTTATCGAGATTCTAGAATGCTTTCAGCTGAACTGAAACTTCGGATTAGTTGTTCAGCACCCTTCTTTAGGTTTTGACTGAGCACGTTGCTTCAAACGAACACTAAATGCACAAATTACAAAAGATGGACTTTACCTTTAACCAATAACGGGTCACAGAATCCAGTTTTTATAGGAGACGCGTTTTCATATGACACCGTATTGTTTTGCACGGCTTTTGATAGGATAAGAGCACAGCCGTTGAAGCGCGTGTAAAACGAAAGAATGTGTGTCCACGAGTCGAGTAGCTGCATCGGCCCACATGTACTGTACGTACGGCATGAGAAGGGCGGGTCCATCATTGCCAGTGCTGGTATGGTATGTCACTATACTATGTGATGGGTTGCTCGTATTTTCCAGCAGGACACGTATAGGCTCTCGGCCAAGAACGGGAAATTTCACCTTCCATATGAAATGTAAGTTGACTTAGTGTATCATCATCTTAATGCTGGAACTTGTACTGGATGTTTTGGGCCAAATTTAGAGATACCGAGATCACACAAATTTAGCCCGGGGCGTGTCATCATCAGTGCCGTTGTCACTGCCAGCAGCAAAAACCGAAAAACGGTGCCGTCCTGAAATTAGGCACAAAACTCGTGCCAGAATCCCAACTCCAGGTTGTACCACTTAAGCTAATTTATGTTTTTCCTTTGTATCAAAAAAAAAAAACTCGGTCAGAGAACAAAAATAGTGAATGAAAATGAACAGCCGGACGACAGTAGCCTTGAAATGTGGCCTATTTACTGGACTGCCTCCGTAATTTCGTAAACATACTAGTAGGCCACACATCCACATGTACCAAAACGTGTCGCACTTTGCCAAATTTTGATTTTCACATTTAGGCTTACTTTGTAGAGGTTTTTTTTGCTTTAGAAGCATTCTCACCCTCTTTATAGGCTAATCAGAAAGTGCTGCCTTTTTCAGATGTCTAATTTTTGTGAAATTTTGTGAAATGTTTACTATGGTCAATGCTCTCGTCTTTATTCGTCCCGTACGCGGTCAATCGTCGGCATATATCCTCACGTGCTATGCACATGCATGTAAAAATACAGCGCGAACAGCGACCTCACGCGGCCACTATTTTTTTATGCAAATCAGTTGGGGACGTTCTCGAGCCTTGGTTCAATCGTCAGCAAAAGCTTATGTTTTTCTTTATTTGCGCTGGATTTCTAGCGCACGACCTCGTATGCGAATATAGATAAGTGTAGGCGGGGCTAATATGTGGAGTGTCCAATCACACCTTGGTAAATCCGGACGTCATCAAATTATTTGCCGCTATTCGGCCTTTGCGGACGTGACAGGAACCACAGTTTTTGTGCATTGGTGCCGTGTGCAGAGACACACAACGTGTACGTGTATGGATTATGTACGGTGCCACGTTTCACTATGCAAGTTTCCACGCAACGATCGACCACACAGATAAGTGTAGGCGGGGCTAATATGTGGAGTGTCCAATCACACCTTGGTAAATCTGGACGTCATCAAATTATTTGCCGCTATTCGGCCTTTGCGGACGTGACAGGAACCACAGTTTTTGTGCATTGGTGCCGTGTGCAGAGACACACAATGTGTATGTGTATGGATTATGTATGGTGCCACGTTTCACTATGCAAGTTTCCACGCAACGATCGACCAATAAGAAAACGACATTTAAGGTCATCTAAGGCTATTAACTTAATGAGCACCACCCCCAAAACCTCACATGGATGATTAAACCAAGGCTCTCGATCGTCCCCAACTGATTTGCATATAAAAATAGTGGCCGCGTGAGGTCGCTGATCGCGCTGTATTTTTACATGCATGTGCAAAGCGCGTGTATGCCGACGATTGACCGCGTACGGGACGAATAACGGTGAGAGCATTGACCAAGGCTAGGACGACAGGGGTTCAAATCAGGGATCTTGTAATACTCGTAAAAAAAAGGGTTGCAACCTGATGCCACTTTTTTTCTTCATATATCATCTCAACAGCAGCGTATCCAGCTTTTGATGTCAGGGGGGCAACCGCACATTCGCTCCGAAATGTAGACATGTTTTCCCTCCGGACAATTGCCCTCTGTAAAAGGGGGGGGGGGTTCTCCGGACACTTGCCCTCCGTAAAATCAAAAGGGGGGGGGGGAGGGGCTGGTACCCATCTTCCAAATGGGGGCGCTCCTCAAACCTGACCATTATTATGCATACTTCATATTTGTATGGACATTTTCACGTTGCATTGTAATGGTTGTTGAGCAGGTTTTCTTTGATGGAATTGATGTCAGAAAAATCTTTAAACATTTACTAAAATCATTGCTGACAAAAAACAATTGTCAAAAAAATCAGCCAGGGGGGACAAAGTGCCCCCCCCCCCCCCCCCCCCCCCCCCGCCTCCAAAGACTTTGTACACAATTGTGGAAGTGGCGTCAGGTTGCAACATTTTTTCCCATCTTGCTACCCACTAGGCTACTTTGTGATAGCTCGATGACAAATGTTCTTAAGAATGCTTTCATATAAAGCCCCTGTCACACTTTTGCGTATCCTAATTCCTTATGAGTTCCTTATCAAAAATTTCAATACGCAGCCGTACGCTCAAAAAGTAGAATTTTTTTATTACTTTGACTTTAATGTGCGACGCACATCTAGCGTACAAGTAACGAATTAAGCACATCCACTGCGTATGAGATGTGTATGAGTTGCAGCAAATACGCTATCTGTGCGTTTAAGTACAATGCGCTGCCCGCTCGCAGAATGAGCGGTACTAATTCGTGCAATACGTCGGCATTCGCTATGAGTTCGTTCAGCGTGCGCTGTATCTTCGCTGCAAGTACTCTATGTATACGCCGGCTCATATGCTGACGGGGTGCGTGCCGGGAGGTCAGCGTATTACCGCGAATGAACCGCTTATCCCCCATGAACACATAGCGTACTCGTACTGCACTCAACCGATGCGGGGCCGATGTGCTGCGTATTTATAACGTATGACCTGCGTAACAGCGTACGCAGCGTAGTTTTGTGCATGCCCAAAACTATCCAGCGTACTGGGCTGTACCATGCGTATGCCTGCGTACATAAAACTTACACAAAATGCTAGAGATGCATATGAGGTGCGTATTGTGCGTGCGACTGCGTATGAAAAAAATGTCAAAGCGCAACTCATAAGGAATTAGGATACGCAGAAGTGTGACAGAACCCTAACCAGTTAATTAGAGGCTTCGCTACAAAACCTGGATCTGATAAAATTTGAAAAAGTTGGTGAATAGGATGTGAATTTCTGTGGAATTTTCGAAAAAGGAATTTTGTAACCCAGAAATGTCTAAGTGATTATATTACACAACATGTACTGCACAAAAAATTGTACGGTCGTCCCTGCAACAATTACCACTTAAACAAATTCAGGTTTGTTTGTTTGTGTTTGAAATCGGATTGGCAGATTTTTCTCTCTCTTTTTAATCCTTTAAAGAAGTGATTGGAATCTTTTTCTCATTCTACATTATGTTGCAGGACACAGTGGAAGCCAACTTTTACAATTAGAGGTTAGAGGACCTGCTGGGTCGGGCAACAAGAAGTATGTGCAACATCAAGTTGGTGGATGGATGTCTAGGTTACCAAGTCCACCATATGGTGACAGTTACCATCAAGGGTCAGGTGCAGTCAATGCTAGGTCAGATTCACACAAAAGGGCTGAAACACCACCAACTGCAACAAGCGGCCCTTGCACAGTCACAGCGTCTTCCGGCTGAAACTGAGCGGCAGTAACTGATGGGCCAGCTTCGTACAAGTGGGCCACCAACTGCAAAGAGCGGCCCTTGCGCAGTTACAGTGCTTCTGGCTGAAGCTGGGTGGCAGCAAATGTCTGACCGAGGAATCTAGTCGGGTTGTCTTGTGGCCCTGCCCACACTCCCTTAACAAGAACAGGATGAGTCATCTAGTCCCTAACCCAGTCCCCAACAGTGGGTGCAGTGCCAAAAACCCTATTATTGAGCTGACACTGGGCGTCGCGTGTGAGATGATCTACCAGTCTTTTGGAGCCACCCCATGGTTGGAGAGCACTTGAACCTTCTTTAAAGGTATAACCACTGTTTGGTTTAACAGCACTGGGTTTTTTTGCAAGTAATTCATATGAACTGTTCAGACACTCCTTTTTTATTCATCCTGTTATTTGTTGTAATTTGACTTGTGATTTACACAATCTCAACTCTGCCTCTAGCTTGTTCTTCAAGAATTAATTCTAATTTTTCTTTTTATCCATGAACAGGCTACTTACGAGGATCCTGGCTGCTAGTTTTGGAGCCATAATACCCTACGCTGCCCCGACCTCTTACTTTGTAGAGACCCAGACCAGAGCCCCTATAGAGCTGACAGGCTGACGCTGGAAGCCATGCTGGAGGAGACTAGAGATAGGCCTAAGACCAAGCTAGGCATCCGCAAATGCAAGAATGCATGGGGACAATCACCAACAAGTGTGACTGCCAAGGTATGCAGTTTACTCTTTGCAAGTGGGCCGTCAGTAAAGAACTTATGCAAGAAATGCCTCTTCCCTCCTGTCCGCATGGTGTATATACGCAGTGGTGTCAGTGGGCCCTCCCCCCCCCCCCCTTCTCTCCTCCCCTCCCTTTTATGCATATATGCTTTGTGGTGTTTAATGAACCACACAAAATAAGGACACAAATAGTACAATCAAGCTGCTTTGGCTACATTTTGTTGAAATCAGTGCTGCTGAGTCTTGATTCAGGATGAAGCTGATCTCACTTGCCGGCCGTACATATACAAACACCTAGGCCAACACTGAATGGAGCCTTTTCCCACCGGATGAAAGTTGAAACATTGACCTGCTGACATGGAAAGCGTGTGATGCTGACTGTATCACACGGTAATTATACAGTGTGTGGTGCGTGAGTGCACAGCACAAGATGGTAACAACAGTAGGGTACCACTGTACATACCACGCTGCCCGCTAGCATGTGGCCGGTCTGATCCGGGACAACCACATGAACGATCAAGTAGGTAAAATCCAACACATGCTATTTTAGGTTTCAGATTTAGTTGTAAAAAATGCAATGCTTTAAAGATCACAGTGTGTCTTAAGTATTATTAGACCTGTGATTTGACTTGTAATTGATTCTACATGTATTTCAACTCTGCGTCTTGATCTGATATTATGTATTATGTATGTTTGGTGAACAGGCCGTGCTGGTTTCCAGTAAATGCTTGCGAAGGAGATCGAGAGACCACTTGGCTTAGCTCCAGCACCCTCTGCGGCCCTCACCTGGAGACCTCTTACCCAGAGACATATAGACTGGATCATACAGGTGGAGCTAGAAGGGACCCATGCTGGAGGGAGCCCACGCTGGAGGGGGCTTACGCTGGAGGGAGCCCACACTGGAGGGAACCTATGCTGGAGGGGACCCACGCTGGAGGGGACCCATGCTGGAGGGGACCCATGCTGGAGGGACCCACGCTGGAGGGAACCTATGCTGGAGGGGACCCACGCTGAAGGGGACCCATGCTGGACGGGACCCACACTGGAGGGGACCCACGCTGGAGGGAACCCATGCTGGAGGGGACCCATGCTGGAGGGGACCCACACTGGAGGGGACCCACGCTGGAGGGAGCCCACACTGGAGGGAGCCCACGCTGGAGGGAGCCCACGCTGGAGGGAACCCACGCTGGAGGGAACCCACGCTGGAGGGGACCCACGCTGGAGGGGACCCACGCTGGAGGGGACCCTCGCTGGAGGGGACCCACGCTGGAGGGGACCCACGCTGGAGGGGACCCACGCTGGAGGGGACCCACGCTGGAGGGGACCCACGCTGGAGGGGACCCACGCTGGAGGGAACCCACGCTGGAGGGGACCCACGCTGGAGGGGACCCACGCTGGAGGGGACCCACACTGGAGGGGACCCACACTGGAGGGAGCCCATGCTGGAGGGAGCCCACGCTGGAGGGAACCCACGCTGGAGGGGACCCACGCTGGAGGGAACCCACGCTGGAGGGGACCCACACTGGAGGGGACCCACGCTGGAGGGAGCCCGCACTGGAGGGAGCCCATGCTGGAGGGAGCCCATGCTGGAGGGAACCCATGCTGGAGGGGACCCACGCTGGAGGGGACCCACGCTGGAGGGGACCCACGCTGGAGGGGACCCACGCTGGAGGGAGCCCACGCTGGAGGGGACCCAAGCTCGAGGAAACCCACGCTGGAGGGGATCCACGCTGGAGGAAACCCACGCTGGAGGGGACCCACGCTGGAGGGTGCCCACACTGAAGGGAGCCCACACTGGAGGGAGCCCATGCTGGAGGGAACCCATGCTGGAGGGGACCCACGCTGGAGGGGACCACAGGCACAAGACCAGGGGAATGTGGTAACTGTTTACTTCTTTCTTGAATGTAAAAATATATCCTAGCTCGGTGTTGATTTGCTTTGTTCAAAAAACAGTGGCGGCTCAGATGGGCAGAATGGGAAGTGCATTCATCTTGTCTGTTTTCCTTTTTTTTCACTTCACTTGTGATATATTCAAGGCAGAAACTTTTCACCCACATTAAATAGCAAGTACAATGTGCCCTGCTTGAATGTTCAGGTTTGCATCCTTTATTGGCACCCCCCTCGTTTCTGTAAATGTTGGATCCGCCACTGAATAACATAGTAATATTTCTTAATATGTTATGTGACACAGTATGTCAAAACCATGCTGTAGTATCAAATTTCAGAAAAAAGGGGTGTTTGTAAGAGCGAAGTCTATAGATGTATCTCTTATAAGACATATTAAGAAAATTACATTGTCATTTTGAATGCACAACGCATTCAAAATGTTCTGAACACCTGCGCATGTTACTCAAATTTTCTGAATTGAAAAATTGAAAAAAGGTGCAGCCGATGAGCGTCACGAACATTTGACGCCAAAATGCCGAGATGCATGTGGCAATCTGTAGTCACATCATTTGAGAGAGACCTATATGTCACTAATATTGCAGTAACTGAAAATTGACTTCTTGCCCAAATGTGCCTGAATTTGACATACCACGTCACATATGTATGCTCCATCAACTGATATTCCTGCCGTAATTTGTGCAAATTAAGTTGTTTTGTAAATTAAAGAAAAAATGTACATTGGGGAAAAATGACTTGGTTCTTGTGAATTCAAAAAAATCTGCTCATTGAAAAGGTTCTTGAGAAACGTTTGCTCATTGACTAATGCTGTTTACAATACCACAATATACAAAACTTGAAAGGGGTATTCCTGCCTGAAATCCCCAAAATGTCATGTTTTGTATTGTTTACTTTTTTAAGGTCTGATTGAAAGGAAACTAACCTTATGTCTTACCGCCCCCTTATGTCTTAACATCAGATGTGAAGGCATATACGCATACGTAAATCCTGTCCGGTCCGTTCAACGTTCAATACACAGTGTGTGTCACATAAACTACACAGAGCACCAACACAAATGTTTTTTCTTACGCATCCACAGCTTGATTTTCGAAAACAAAATATTGACCCCCGAAATTTGTTCTCGCACGGTACTTGCAAGAATAACACAAATGCAGCCAGTTTTTAATGGATGCTTGTGTGGAAGTTTATATTTTACTTTTACTGTTCTTGCCATTTAATTGTATCCAAAATTGTTTTGTAGCCAAGTGGGTGCATTCCACGGGCGGTAATGTGCCATTAACCATAACCCCTTGGGTATTTTTACTAGAAAGTTTCCTGAATCCGCCAAAATCCATCAGTTTTGTCATGCAAACAAATGTTGGTATCCAGTGAGTCTATCAGTATCCACCAGTGAGTCAGGGGTTGAATTGTTGAGATCCTGAATCCGTCAAAGGCCCCCCCCCCAACTGCTCAATATGGAAGCATTCTGAATCTATCAAAATCCTGCAGTGCTGTTAGGCTTACTGTCCTGAATCCATCAAAATACCCCAACTTGTTCAATATGAAGTATCCTGATTCAGCTGAAATCCTCCAAAACAGGGGTGTGGATTTCAGGTACGTTACGGTTAAAAACAACTTTTTGTACTGAGAAGTTGTAACATTGGGGTTTTGGCCTGAAATGACGTCACACCAGAAACAGAAAAAAATTGCCTGAGCAAAAGCAGGCAAGCAACTTTTCCTCGGATCAGCCGATTTCCTTGGTTTTAACTTCTCAAGAATGCCATTCATAAATTGAAAAACACTGTACAAAGTCTTGTTGTGGTTTGAAATTTCTCGTTTTTTTTCCACTAAATTCCCAATTGCATGCCTGCAGAAGGCTTCTATGTACACATACCCTTGCAATTGGCAAAACGAAAACTTAAAAATGGATAGAATTTGTCTTTTTGTTGCATGATGGTCAATTTCCTTATTCAGAGTTTTTCTTCTCTTTGGCATGAGATTGTCTTTCTGGTAGATGAGGTTGTGGAGAATTTCGTCAGTCGACCAGTGAGGACATTTAGTAATAATTATAACAAAAATGCCAGAGTCTTATATAGCTCAGGTATCTACCAACAATTCTTAATTATGCTGTCTTGAACCATCCAAAATTTAATTTTAACACAACGGTAATTATTTTAAAAGAAAAACCCACAAGTTCTGTTTTCGACAGACATACACTTCTAGTTAGCTGTTTCCAATTTAAATTGGGGACAGATTTTGTTTTTGTTAAGGGGTTTTTCCCCTTTTTGTGTGTTGCTTTTCTGCAAAGTAGCGGAAAAGCCTTTCTGTTTGTTGTCATTTTTTTTCTCTCTCCTTTTTGTTCTGTGGCAAATCCCATAGACTTTGTACACGATTTTTCTACTTGTAAACGACTTTTGGTATTAATCTTTGTTATATATGTATATACAGTGTGTACTGCAGCTGCGGTAAAAGGATTTGACATCCCGCAGCCGCAATCAGTCCTTCACATTGGTCTTCGGCCACCTGGTCCTGTCATGGGCGAGTTGCCGTAGGCAATGGAGTGCGGAGGGGTCCGAGTCCAGCCCGTTTGAGGTCAGCATGTATTGTGCCCACTAGATTTATGCAATGCCGTCCTCGTCTGGGTTTGTAGGCTTGAGAGCCAGTAATAGTAAAGTCTAAGGCCCTCTGAGCGGGTGTGTCGGGATCCATACGTAGGACATGGCCTAACATTGACTATCTTTGCTTTGTGACCTTTGATGAGAAGGGTTCTTCATTGCACAGTTCGCATAGTGCTTGGTTGCTGATAAGGCTCTTTGGCCAGCAGTGACCTGTGTCTGCGGTGGCGCGCATCCAGCTTGTCAAGCCTGACTTTGGGTGCTGCCCAGCTGTTGCAATTGAGCATGATTGATACGCAGTATGTGTTGTATAGACGGAGTCTTGTCTTCAGCGGGATCTTGGTTCGCTGGCTCCTGAGTTTCTGTAACGTGTGGAATGTTACATTGCCTTGAATGTAAGGAGCCTAGAGTCTTGTTCTTGCGCCAACTCTCATTGCCGCGGACAGCCTTGCCGTGTGAGTCTGTCTCTGTGGCTTCTGCAAGGTATACGTGAGTAAACTCTGTCTTCGTCTCGTTCATGAACAAGTTGTCGAATTTTAGTTTCTCCGCTGCTACTGGCTGGAGATGGTCCAGGGGTTTCTTTTCTTCATCCGGGAAGTCAACATCGTCTGCGTACTCCATTTCTAGTGGCAGACCTAGGCTGGAGACCGGTGGGTTGGGCCTGTTGGAGCTTTCTCGGATTGATGAAAGTGCAGCAGCAAGGTAGCAGGTGAAAAGGACTGGTGATAGGCTATCACCCTGGGGGGATCCTATTGAGGTCTCAAATGAGTCTGACAGCTTGTTTTTTACACGGACCCTGGGCTTTGTCCCTGCTAACAGTGATCTTGCTAGTCTTAGTTCATCTTCGTCGCAGCCTGCTTGTAGTAGGACATCTAGGATGCGTTTCCGCTTGATGGTATCCAAAGCTCGCGACAGATCAATGCCCATCTTGTGGAAGTCCCATTTCCTTGTCTTAACAACTGAGTTCAGCATACGTTGTGCCCATACAATGTCTGCGCAGCTCCTGCCTCTTTTGAAACCACTTTGATATGGTCCGGTGAAGCGGTCGAGCTTGTCTCTGATGCGGCGTAGAGTGATGATGGACAAAATCTTTCTTATGCTGTTCAGCAGGGCTATTGGCCGGAGGTTGGCTGGTGAGCTGGGGGGGGGGGCTTCTTTGGCTTGGGAAGAGTGATTAGTGTGCCTTCTCCTAGTGTCTCTATGATCAAGTGATGCTCAAACGATGAGGTGATGGTTTTGGCCAGTGGGTGGGAGACAAGGTTTTTGGAGTGCTTGAAGAGCTCGCTGTTGATACCGTCTGGACTGGCAGCATGGCCATTGTGGTTGTGTGCAGTGATGGCGCTCTTGACTTCCTCCTCTGTTATGGGAGTCTGGAGTGGCCGTGGCCGTGTTAAACATCATTCAAAGTACTACAATGTATGCTACTTACTTTCACATAAGAAATGATACCAGTCTTCTCTGCTTCTGCCTGTTTTCGTCTCTGCTTAGATACTCAAGGCACTGGTAGTAAGGTCTATTATTAAAGACAGGTAATTATAAATGAAGTTTATGAGGAATATGCAATGTATGAGACCCATTGCTCACCGTATACAAGGTGCTGTAGCCAGTGCCAGAATAACACTGGGGCAATCCCCTTCCCTTAGGTCCAGCGTCTTTATTAGTTTACTCAGCGTGCTGGGGCGCACCGTACTGCGGCGCCTTTGCGGTGGTTTTTTTGCCTGGCCAATGTTCTCAGTGAGCCGGGCGCTCTGCGGCGGGATGGCTCTCGTGAGGGCTCATTAAAATCGGCTATTGTGTTGGTAGCATTGATATCTTAATCATGCTCATGACACAGCCTGACGTTCGGCCCGCCCTGGCACACTGTGAAGATTAGCGTTAAGCGCGCCTCGGCCAGCCGGTAAGATTATCTTGATCAACAACAAAAGACAATGAACAAAAGCCTTTCATCAGTCCCCAAAGATGCCACTGAAGTTTCAAAAGCTTGTTTAACTTTAAGTACTTTCATTGTTGAAGCTTGAAAATACACATGTTGAACGCACGACTTTGTGACGGTACACATCTAGTGTTTACATGTACATACCGGACTGCATTTACGGAATGTTGATTTTTAGTTTTCGGATGGAGAGAAAATCAGTCAGAAGAGGTATTTTATATAGGGCCTATTTGTAATATGTTATGTTATGGTACTAAACCTAAAAGAGTTGATGTCGTTTTAACGGATCTAATTTTGAAGACAGGTGGTACTCTTTCAAAAAAGAAGGAATTTTAAGTCATTTACAAAAAATGCTGCACCTTGGCCGGACTTGGTCCGTACCGTGCAGTAACACTCGTGGTGCGTGGACTGCTATGTTGACCGGCCGTGGCCCCACGCAGGCTACGTATCGCCGGTGGTCACTGGCACATGGTGATGTTCACACAGAAAATTGTGCTTCGTAAAATCGCCACAAACAAAAGCATTGCGATCTCAAAACAAAATTAATGAAAATAGAAAATGCATAAGCACCAAGCTTTGTTGATTAAAATGTTTTCGAGTTGGCTCGAGGATGAGAGAGAAATGTATCAGAAAAAAATTATTTGAGAAAATACTCAGTTTACGAAGAAATGTACAAATATTAAACATTGGGCCGAATGTGAAAACTGGGGCGGGCAGTGATAAATACCTTAAAAAAAAAAAATTTAACGTCATTTTTTAACCTTCCAAAAACGGTAGACCTATTGTTGTTTCAGTCAGGGAAGAAATATAAACATCATTGGCGGGTGACGATTACTTCAAACCTTTCTTAATAGATGAGTCGTGCTATTTTGGAATTTATGTACATTCCTATTGAAGTGCCAATTACTTCTTTCCTGTGATATTTGCATGCCCAGTCTCACTATGATGATCATCCACAAACTACATGTATTTTTTTTTATATCAATAACAAAGGGATACAAGTTCTACTATTGATAGATTTGTTTTATTGCCAGGTGAAACTACAATGTGAAAAAATATATCAGTTAACTTTTAACCGAAAATAAACCTTTCCCAGTCTGGTTAACTTCAAACAGAAAACAAACCTGATTATTTAATTATCTGTGCCGACACTTCATGATTTTAAAATTTACTGCCTCAGTCTGGTTAACTTTAAACCGAAATTAAACCGGATTATCTAATTATCTGTTGGCAAACCATGATTTTAAAATTTAGTTGCTATCTTTCGACACTTTGTGCCTTCCTGTATACGTCTCCTTTTTCTTATCTCCAAAAATTGATATTTATACATCTTATGCTGTTTTGAGTATCTCCCAGAATTCTCTTTCTTCAATTTTTAGGAACAACTGTTAGTATTTTGAATTCTTCTGCCCTGTTAGCATAATTGTAATAAAAAAAATGTATAGCAGTATTAATTACATTCATACTCGTCAATTGTTAATGCATATGTATCACTACTTTGGGGTATTCAATTTAATCAGCACTTAAACTTGCAGCATTTAACCTATGATCTATCTCTCTTTTGGTGCATTTGCACTTGTGTGTGCAGGACTAATTGCTCTGATGCAACTGCACATATTCGTCTTGCGGTTCCTTCAGCAGCGGCATCTTATCTTGGTTGGTGCACTGACTTGTGCATTTGCACTTGTGTGTGCAGGACTAGTTGCTCTGATGCAACTGCACATATTCGTCTTGCAGTTGCTTCAGCAGCGGCATCTTATCTTGGTTGGTGCACTGAATTGTGCATTTGAACTTGTGTGTGCAGGACTAGTTGCTCTGATGCAACTGCATATATTCGTCTTGCAGTTGCTTCAGCAGCGGCATCTTATCTTGGTTGGTGCACTGACTTGTGCATTTGCACTTGTGTGTGCAGGACTAGTTGCCCTGATGCAACTGCACATGTCGCTGATGTGCACTTGCACGATAATGTGTATTTTATATCCAGTCTATAACACTTGCACATTCCATTGGTGCATATATAAACCAAGAAAAACAATCATTTTTCTGTAGTCTGGTTCCCTGACTCCATTTATGAAGAAACAGAGCAGTTTACATATATTGGGGAATTGTAAGGTCAGGGAACCAGTGTAGCTGGCTTGTACCCGTTCATAGATGTGTAATCGATTGCAAACAAGTGCGATGGTCAACTGGGGGCAGTATTTGAAAAAAAAGCCATTTTTCTTTCCAACGCTGATCGGCCGATTTTCTTGAAAATGACAGTATACCAGGTGCCATGATTTTACAGGATGCTTTACATTGTCATTTACTAACAGTCGAGCAAGGTATTTCAAAACGATTTGGTAGTTTTATTTTTTGATGTTTGCAAATGTTGTATTTTCCCTTGAAGAGGGCCGTTTTTACTATTTTCCTTATGAATAATGTATGAATTCATAACAACACATTACTTTTATCTCACCTCCCTATTTGCACATTCGCCTTCTGTGCATTTGCAAGATTTTCTGCATTTGATGCTCATTCTGTAGCATTTGCACATGGCGGTTGAGCACATGCCATTGCATCTGCAAGGTCTTTGTTGCTGCCAAAAAAAAAAAAATCCAATCCAATCCAATCATATGTGCACTTGCACGATGGTGTGCATTTTATATCCAGTCTATAACACTTGCACATTCCATTGGCGCATATCCCCTTGCATCGGCATGGTCGTTGTGGCTGCAAAAAAACAAAAAAAATCCAATCCAATCCAATCATATAAAAGCATCACCAAATAATGCCACAGTTTGTTCTGTTGTATATTTTACATTACAGATGGAAGTGCTGACTCAATACATTTCTAAACTGCAAAATGCATGTGTGTAGTAAACCATACAAATGAGATCATAGTTATAAAGTTGACTCTCGTAAAAACAATTTATGCAGACAGAATGATTGCTTCACCAATTATTAACTCTTTCGTTCCTGTATATGTCTTCAGGCCAGCTGTGCATGGTTTGATATGACAGTCACTTTCCCTAGTGTCCATGCCGACAGCTGTTCCGCTTACAATGATTAACACCACATCATAGGGTCTTGACTCTGTCAACTTGTTAACGTTATTCTTCCTTCTAGGTGGCTGAAAGCAGCAGCGAGATATTCATCATAGTCCTCGGCGATGCCGTCCTCCTCCAGGTTCTGCAATTTACTTCAGTGAACACCACAATTTTCATCCATTGCTCCTCATCTAGAAAAAAAACATGCATAAAGTAAAACATACATGTGTTTGAATGTATACAATATTTGATACATTTTGAACAATTATACAATTTAACACTTATACACTCTTGCTCAGTGCATATATTTCCCATACTCAATATATAGTAGGCGCCTAAGATTTAGGTGATTGAAACTGTTCTTGTGAAGATTGTCTCCAACGACCGGGAGGCCACTCCTTGATTAGGTTCATCTGATTGTGGATGACGTATGATTCAAGAAGAAAGTGTTATTTGTATTCCAACTTTCTTCAGTGCTGTGCACGATGTGGTCATCTGAAAATATAGCCAAATACATGTAACATGAATAACACATATTTTCATTTCCCGACATAAGTATCTTCAAACACATCACCCACCTGTTGGGAATTTTGTCTCCTTATCTCCAACAGTTGTTCCAGTCAACATTTGTCTTCAAGTAGACTGTTAATATTTACCATCTTGCTATATTTTGATATCTTCGTGCAGTGTATGTCTCTCTGATTCCAATATCCTAAGCTTCTTGAATAGCTAAGTTGAGAACCAAAATTTGTCCAATTTAATTTTAAAGAGATAACATTTCAGTGACAAGTTATGTCTAGGACTGTTGGGGAATGGATAGGTTGATACACAATTTGTTTGAGGACTGTGTTTACCATGATTGTTTATTCCACAACAATATTTTAATACACATTGATTGATTGAACTGGTTACAGTGAACTGAGACAAAGAGAACTTGGTGAACTGAAATAGACTAGAATAGAAATGGAATTGTAACAGAAATGAAACAGTGAGGAACTGCTAGTGGCCTGGAGCAGCACTTATATACTGGTGGAAACAGGAAGTCTTGGGAATAAGAAATACTTAAGAATGGGGAAACTTACTCATATCGTGGTTTCCTTGAGTCTCAGAAAAATGCTCTGTATAAAAGTATAGTGACTACATATTGCATAGGCACTGTGTGGGTATATGTGTATACAAGGAAAACGAGTAATGCATTCAGGAGAATTGTCATGTATTTACGTGGGTTATTCCGGGGAAATAACGTCAACAATGATACTGGGGGCTGCCATATTGGAAAGGTGATTTATTATGCTCACGTGACCTGACGTCATAACTGAGTTGATTATCAATGGGCGCATAAGTGATATAGTTCCAACATACAGTTCCGGTCATGCACAATACATTACACTTCCTCCTCACTATTCAGATGATTATTTAAATGTTAAGGAAACTCCATATCATGTTTGTATACAAGGTTGTGAAGTGGCTGATAAAAATGCTGATGCAAGTAATCACTGAGCAGTTCAACAAGTTTTGCGAATAAATGCCGCATAATATGTGAGATAATAAACATTAATATAATGTCTATTTTGCATATATCCTGGATGAAATGGCAATTTTCATTTTTCATTGCAAACGCTTAACACAACACTTTTTTTGTTCTCTTTTCTAAACTATCTACTTAACATGCTGGTCTCTAGACTTATAGAGAAAGTGCAAATACAACTTTAAGAATTAAACCTTTTAAACATAATGGTTGTACGTGTGTTTCAAGACGGTTTGTCTTTTAGACAGTCACAGATTGAGTTTATCTGGGGGTTTGCGATTGCGAGATGGGTAGCGGCGTTCCACTACTTTTGGGCTTGCTGGCAAGGGTGGTTCTGCTGGAGTGAGTGTTTCGCTAGGCACTGCTTGTTCTGGCGTAGCGGTTAATGATGCAGGGATGACTGGGTCTGGTACAAGTATCTCTGGGACTGCATCATGTGGTGTGTTCAGATCAGGTGGTTTTCCGGTGTCAGAGTCGATGAGTTGGTCAACATGTCGGCGCCAAATCATGTTTGGCCCAACACAAACTTGGTAGGACAGTGGACCAGATCGCGCATGTATGACTCCTGGGATCCATTTCTGCTTACCGCGGTAGTCGCGAACAGAGACTGTCTGGCCAATGTGAAACTCTCGGGTCACACTAGCAGACTTGTGAGATGTTGCTTGATCCACCTGCTTACTGCTAACATGGTTGCGAATGTTGGGTTTCAGAATGTCCAATCGCGAACGAAGGTTGCGTCCCATGAACAGTGTAGCGGGGGACTGTCCAGTCGTAGAGTGAGGAGCATTCCTGTATGCCAACAGGAAACTAGCCAGTTTGGCAGATGTGGTTCCTTTCTCCCCTGTCATTGATTTCATGGCTTGCTTAAATGTCTGCACAAACCGTTCAGCAAGGCCATTTGTTGCGGGATGATACGGGGCAGATGTGATGTGTTTCACACCGTTGCGCTTGAGGAACATCTGAAACTCATCAGATGTAAACTGGGGTGCGTTATCACTCACGAGTTGCTCCGGAACTCCATTTCTCGCGAAGATGGCTCTGAGAATATCAATGGTGTGAGAAGAATCGGATGATTTGGTGCTTACCACTTCTGGCCATTTGGAGTGTGCATCCACTACGATCAAAAACATTTGACCGAGGAACGGTCCAGCATAGTCAATGTGGATACGTTGCCATGGAGACATGGGCCATTCCCATGTGTGAAGTGGTGCTGACTTAGGGTTGTGCTGGACTAGCTGGCATCCAGAACAACCTTTGGCAAGTTTTTCAATGTCACTGTCGATGCCAGGCCACCACATGTAACCGCGTGCGAGGGTTTTCATTTTGACAACCCCCAGGTGACCTTCATGTAGCTCGATGAGGACCTTGTCGCGTAGCTTGGCTGGCACTACAACGCGTAATCCCCACATGAGGCATCCGTTGTGTACGGAAAGTTCATGCCTACGTGCGTGGAATGGATTCAGTTCAGAGTCGTGGGAGTGAGGCCAGCCCTTCATAGTGTACTCGTAAGCTTTGGCGAGTACGACATCGCGAGCAGTTTCCTTGCGTATTTGGGCACTGGTGACTGGCAATGTGTCGAATTGCGACAAGTGTAGGATATCATCTGGGTCAGTGTGCTCTACCCTGACCTCAGGAAGTGGCATTCGCGAAAGTCCATCCGCTTTACAGTGTTTGGTGGTACTCTTGTACTCAATTTCGTAGTCGTAGCTGGCAAGGAATACAGCGTAGCGAACCATGCGAGAAGCTGTCGTTGCAGGGATGCTCTTAGCGGGATGAAATATTGACGTGAGCGGTTGGTGATCGGTCACCAATGTGAACTTCCGCCCACACAGATAGTTGTTGAATTTCTTGACACCCCACACGAGCGCTAAGGCTTCCTTGTCGATTTGCGAGTAGTTTCGCTCAGCAGATGACAATGTTCGCGAAGCATATGCGATTGGTCGCTCCGTGTTGTCGGGCATTACGTGGGACATGACGGAGCCCAGCCCGTACGGTGATGCATCGCAAGCTAATTTTACTGGCAACTTTGGGTCGTAGTGGGTCAAGACTTCCTCAGATGTGATTAGAGTTTTTGCCTGCTCGAATGCTGTCTCACATTCTGTAGACCACGCCCATTTGTGATTTTTCTCCAAGAGCTGGTGAAGTGGGTGCAGAACAGTGGAGAGGTTAGGCAAGAATCTGTGGTAGTAGTTGATGAGTCCGAGGAAGGAACGAACCTGCCCAACATTAGTAGGTCGGGGTGCGTTCTTGACCGCGTTGATCTTGTCCTGCGTCTTGTGTAATCCCCGTGCATCAATTTCATGACCACAGAAGACTACCTTGCTCTTGAAGAACTCGCACTTGGATTTGTTGAGACGCAGTCCTCGATCTCGCAACACAGATAGAACTTTCTCCAGATTACGAAGATGTTCTGTGTTATCGCGACCGGTGATGAGCATATCATCCAGAATGCACTGCACACCTGGAATGCCCTGGATGATTTGCTCCATTGTCCGTTGCCATATTGCGGGTGCTGATGCTACTCCGAAGGCAAGTCGATTCATTTTGAACAGTCCCTTGTGAGTGTTGAGAGTGAGTAGCTTGCTTGACTCCTCGTCCATTACCATATGTAAGTATGCTTGTTTGAGGTCAAGCTTACTGAAGTGCTGTCCGCCTGCCAGGGTGGCGAACACGTCGTCGATCTTGGGCAAGGGGTAATGGTCAACATGCAAGTTGGCATTAACAGTCACTTTGAAGTCACCGCAAATTCTTACCCCACCATTTTTCTTTGGAACGGGCACTATGGGTGTGGCCCATTCACTAGTCTCTACTGGTGAGATAATGTTCTGCTGTTGAAGCTTGGCGAGCTCAGCTTCGACTTGGGGTCTCAGTGCATATGGCACTTGTCTTGCCTTGAGGAACACTGGGTGAGCATTATCTTTGAGAGTCAATTTTGCTCGTATGTCTGTGAGTTCCCCAATTTCGTCCTTGAAGAGTTCAGGATACGAGTCTAACAAGGCTTGTAACTTAGCCTCCATGTTCACTGGCGGATGCTCAGATGATATGGCGAAAATGCTCGGCCAGTCCAGTTTGAAGTGGGCGAGCCAATCGCGACCAAACAATGCTGGCCCACCGCGTTGAACAACATACAACAGTCCGGTGTGTCGTTGTTCCTGGTAGCAGATGTCCACTTGCAGACAACCAACTGGTGATACCTTTTCACCAGTGTAGGTCTGCAATTTGACTGGAGTTGACTCGAGTTTCGAATTCGCGAAATGTCGCTGGTAGTCTGCCTTGGAGATTACAGATACAGCCGAACCTGTGTCAAGTTCCATGCGAATATTTGTGCCATTAATCGATGGGGTCAACCAGATCGTGCTATCTTTGCGATGATCCAGATTGTTGACTCTGAGTCGACCGACGTAGGTAATGTCGTCGTCGCTACTGGCTTCCTCGACTGATTTCATGGGTTTCGCCTTTACTTTTCCTCCTTGTGGTCGGCCTTTGCGAGAGTTACGTGGGCGACTAGCCTGTTGTGGGCTAGTACTCGAGCGGCAGACTGGTCGGATGTGACCTTTCTTGTTGCATCCATGACACGTAGCGTCTTTGAAGTGACACTGGTTGGGAGAATGACCAGATTTCCCACAGCGATAGCATGTCGATGTTGAAGTTGGTTGCGGTTTGGCTGCGAATTTGTGGACCGAAGTCTCTGGTTTCAGCTGTTGTTGAAATTCAACTGCGTCTTTAGCAGCAGCTTCCATAGCTGTAGCTATCTCAATCGCTTTCTTGAGTGTGAGCTTAGCTTCAGCGAGTAGACGTTTAGTGATGTTGCCAGCCCGCAGACCACACACTAGGCGATCACGAAGTGCGTCATTGAGATAACTCCCAAATTCGCAATATTCTGTTAATCGTCTAAGTTCAGCGAGATATGCAGTAACTGATTCTCCCTCACGCTGATCACGCTTGTGAAAGCGAAACCTCTCTGCGATAACAAGCGGTTTGGGGGCGAGGTGTTTCCTCAGCACATCAACTAATTCTGTGTACGACTTGGTACTTGGCTTTTCAGGAGCAATCAGATTTTTCAACAATCCATAAGTCTTTGGGCCTATCAGACTGATAAATGCAGGCACTTTGCGATCGTCAGTGATTGCATTTGCGGCAAAATATTGATCTAGTCTTTCAATATATGTCGGCCAATCCTCCTCAGTACGATCGAATGGATCGATTCTGCCTATGAGCGAACCAGCCATGTTGCAGTCAAATACAGTACGTGTGTACGCTACACGAGTAGGCAAACTAACAACGGTAAGTCTATGTGTATATGTACGTACCGAACGCCGCGAAAACTAGACGTAAATTCCGCTCAAAATCACTGCTTTGCAGCTCTCCCCGGCGAAGAAAACTACAAGTAGTCAATGACAGACAAGTTCTTGTTGCTAAATGTTAACAGTAAAACTCATCCTCGTCGCCAGTTGTCATGTATTTACGTGGGTTATTCCGGGGAAATAACGTCAACAATGATACTGGGGGCTGCCATATTGGAAAGGTGATTTATTATGCTCACGTGACCTGACGTCATAACTGAGTTGATTATCAATGGGCGCATAAGTGATATAGTTCCAACATACAGTTCCGGTCATGCACAATACATTACAAGAATTAATCATTAAAAAGTTCAAAAGGAACATTGATAATTAAAGTGTGATAATTAACTAAAAATTAAGATGAATTGATAATTAAGAATTGATCATCTGAAAACGCTACAGGAGCCCCCCCCCCCCCCCCCAGTGAGTGTGTGGCAATTAACGAGCGAATGTAACATAGCGTTTAGGCCAATGACGAAGTTGTTGGAGTTCGTCACACTGTCGTTGTAGGTCAGCCATTTTGTTGAAATTGAGGAGTGTGTGGGACTGCTCTGGGCTGAGGGAGTTGAGCTCGATACGCGAAAGAGCGTCCGCGGCAGGGTTGTCACCACCTTTGACGTATCTGATGTCACAAGTGAATTGTGAAACAAAATCATGATGGCGAATCTCACGTGGGGAATGTCTGTCCATTGATGCTGACTGAGCATATGTGAGGGGCTTGTGATCAGTGAGCACGTGAAACTCTCGACCCTTGAGCGAGTGACGAAAATGGCGAATGTCCAGATACACAGCTAAGAGTTCTCGTCCAAAGGTGCTGTAGAGCGTTTCGGCTGGTTGGAGCTTTTTGGAGAAGAATGAGATCAGCTGCCGTGAATCATCTACCCCTTGTTGAAGAACAGCTCCTACTGCAATATTTGAAGCATCCGTCATGACGCTCAGCGGAGCATCTGGCTTGGGATGTGTGAGGAGGGTAGCGTTTGCGTTCGCAAAAGTGAACCTCTAAATCGATCTCCCACACATAACACAAAACTCCCAGTTTTTTTCAAATGATAGTTGTGTGACTTTTTTTCTACTTTTAAATATTTTGTAGTTTTTGAAGCCCAATTGGGCTCATTCCAGGATGCAGTTCCCTTTAATGACTCCCCGCAGAGGTCCAAAATGGTGTGTGAAACTGGTAGCTTTCTTAAAGAGGTTGTGGAATGCTCGAAGACATTTCCGTCATTTTTCGGGTATATGTAGCCTAAGGTGTGATGAAATAAAAACGACTATTGTTTCTGTCATGCAATGAGTACAAAAGGTACTTTTGAGAGCTGTTTTTCAAGTCCTGTCATGCCTGTTTCGACCCGAACGTGCAATTTGTGTAAAAGTCGTCGTTGCGGGCAGCAAACAAAACACAGTAAATCGTGATGTAATAAACAGGACTCCCGATGCAGAGTAGCATACGCGAGTCCTGTTTATTACGTCACGATTTAATGAGTTTAGCAGTGGCATCTTACTTGGTTGGTGCACTGACTTGTGCATTTGCACTTGCGTGTGCAGGACTAGTTGCTCTGATGCAACTGCACATATTCGTCTTGCAGTTCCTTCAGCAGCGGCATCTTATCTTGGTTGGTGCACTGACTTGTGCATTTGCACTTGTGTGTGCAGGACTAGTTGCTCTGATGCAAGTGCACATATTATACTTACTTTCCTGTAGTCTCTCATCCTCTGCTTACATGTCTTTGAGGACATGCTCTTGTCTTTTTCTTTTCCTTTTTGTCAATTTTATCTATAAACAAATAAAACAATGAGGTATTATTTGATGCGATTGCTGTGATTTTTTCAGGACAAAACTTTTTTGTGTCGCCGTTCATTAGTTTTTGGTGTAATTTTCAGAAATGGATGGAATTGGGGGGTTGGGAATATATAGCAAATACAGTTACACTGACTTTTTGGAGGTTTTGGGTTCCTAAATTCTATAAAAACCAAGAAAAACAATCATTTTTCTGTAGTCTGGTTCCCTGACTCCATTTAAGAAGAAACAGAGCAGTTTACATATATTGGGGAATTGTAAGGTCAGGGAACCAGTCTAGCTGGCTTGTACCCGTTCATAGGTGTGTAATCGATTGCAAACAAGTGCGATGGTCAACTGGGGCCAGTATTTGAAAAAAACCCGTTTTTTTCCAACGCTGATCGGCCGATTTTCTTGAAAATGACAGTATACCAGGTGCCATTATTTTACAGGATGCTTTACACTGTCATTCACTCACAGTCCAGCAAGGTATTTCAAAATGATTTGGTAGTTTTATTTTTTGATGTTTGCAAATGTTGTATTTTCCCTTTAAGAGGGCCGTTTTTACTATTTTTCCTTATCAATAATGTATGAATTCATAACAACACATTACTCTCACCTCCCTATTTGCACACTCGCCTTCTGTGCATTTGCAAGATTTCCTGCATCTGATGTTCAGTCTGTAGCATTTGCACATGCCAGTTGAGCAAATGCCATTGCATCTGCAAGGTCTTTGTTGCTGCAAAAAAAAAAAATCCAATCCAATCATAAAAAAGCATCATCAAAATAATGCCACAGTTTGTTCTGTTGTACAGGCCAGTATTTGAAAAAAAACAACCGTTTTTTCCAACGCTGATCGGCCGATTTTCTTGAAAATGACAGTATACCAGGTGCCATTATTTTACAGGATGCTTTACACTGTCATTCACTCACAGTCCAGCAAGGTATTTCAAAATGATTTGGTAGATTAATTTTTTGATGTTTGCAAATGTTGTATTTTCCCTTTAAGAGGGCCGTTTTTACTATTTTTCCTTTATCAATAATGTATGAATTCATAACAACACATTACTTATATCTCACCTCTCTATTGGCGCACTCGCCTTCTTGACATTTGCACGATTTCCTGCATTTAATATTGAACCTCTTGCATTTGCACATTCCAGTTTGGCACCCGCTGGTGCATCGGCATGGTCGTTGTGGCTGCAAAAAAACAAAAAAAATCCAATCCAATCCAATCATATAAAAGCATCACCAAATAATGCCACAGTTTGTTCTGTTGTATATTTTACATTACAAATGGAAGTGCTGACTCAATACATTTCTAAACTGCAAAATGCATGTGTGTAGTAAACCATACAAATGAGATCATAGTTATAAAGTTGACTCTCGTAAAAACAATTTATGCAGACAGAATGATTGCTTCACCAATTATTAACTCTTTCGTTCCTGTATATGTCTTCAGGCCAGCTGTGCATGGTTTGATATGACAGTCACTTTCCCTAGTGTCCATGCCGACAGCTGTTCCGCTTACAATGATTAACACCACATCATAGGGTCTTGACTCTGTCAACTTGTTAACGTTATTCTTCCTTCTAGGTGGCTGAAAGCAGCAGCCAGATATTCATCATAGTCCTCGGCGATGCCGTCCTCCTCCAGGTTCTGCAATTTACTTCAGTGAACACCACAATTTTCATCCATTGCTCCTCATCTAGAAAAAAAACATGCATAAAGTAAAACATACATGTGTTTGAATGTATACAATATTTGATACATTTTGAACAATTATACAATTTAACACTTATACACTCTTGCTCAGTGCATATATTTCCCATACTCAATATATAGTAGGTGCCTAAGATTTAGGTGATTGAAACTGTTCTTGTGAAGATTGTCTCCAACGACCGGGAGGCCACTCCTTGATTAGGTTCATCTGATTGTGGATGACGTATGATTCAAGAAGAAAGTGTTATTTGTATTCCAACTTTCTTCAGTGCTGTGCACGATGTGGTCATCTGAAAATATAGCCAAATACATGTAACATGAATAACACATATTTTCATTTCCCGACATAAGTATCTTCAAACACATCACCCACCTGTTGGGAATTTTGTCTCCTTATCTCCAACAGTTGTTCCAGTCAACATTTGTCTTCAAGTAGACTGTTAATATTTACCATCTTGCTATATTTTGATATCTTCGTGCAGTGTATGTCTCTCTGATTCCAATATCCTAAGCTTCTTGAATAGCTAAGTTGAGAACCAAAATTTGTCCAATTTAATTTTAAAGAGATAACATTTCAGTGACAAGTTATGTCTAGGACTGTTGGGGAATGGATAGGTTGATACACAATTTGTTTGAGGACTGTGTTTACCATGATTGTTTATTCCACAACAATATTTTAATACACATTGATTGATTGAACTGGTTACAGTGAACTGAGACAAAGAGAACTTGGTGAACTGAAATAGACTAGAATAGAAATGGAATTGTAACAGAAATGAAACAGTGAGGAACTGCTAGTGGCCTGGAGCAGCACTTATATACTGGTGGAAACAGGAAGTCTTGGGAATAAGAAATACTTAAGAATGGGGAAACTTACTCATATCGTGGTTTCCTTGAGTCTCAGAAAAATGCTCTGTATAAAAGTATAGTGACTACATATTGCATAGGCACTGTGTGGGTATATGTGTATACAAGGAAAACGAGTAATGCATTCAGGAGAATTAATCATTAAAAAGTTCAAAAGGAACATTGATAATTAAAGTGTGATAATTAACTAAAAATTAAGATGAATTGATAATTAAGAATTGATCATCTGAAAACGCTACAGGAGCCCCCCCCCCCCCCCCCCCCCCAGTGAGTGTGTGGCAATTAACGAGCGAATGTAACATAGCATTTAGGCCAATGACGAAGTTGTTGGAGTTCGTCACACTGTCGTTGTAGGTCAGCCATTTTGTTGAAATTGAGGAGTGTGTGGGACTGCTCTGGGCTGAGGGAGTTGAGCTCGATACGCGAAAGAGCGTCCGCGGCAGGGTTGTCACCACCTTTGACGTATCTGATGTCACAAGTGAATTGTGAAACAAAATCATGATGGCGAATCTCACGTGGGGAATGT